AGTAAAAATTGTTGACACTGAGACAGTTGGTGTTGTTGACACTGAGACAGTTGGTGTTGTTGATTCAGATAGTAAATGTTGACACAGCGACAGTTTGTGTTGTTGACACTGAGACAGTTGGTGTTGTTGATACTGAGACAGTTGATGTTGTTGACACTGAGACAGTTGGTGTTGTTGACACTGAGACAGTTGGTGTTGTTGACACTGAGACATTTGGTGTTGTTGACACTGAGACAGTTGGTGTTGTTGACACTGAGACAGTTTGTGTTGTTGATACTGAGACAGTTGGTGTTGTTGACACTGAGACAGTTGGTGTTGTTGACACTGAGACAGTTGGTGTTGTTGACACTGAGACAGTTGGTGTTGTTGACACTGAGACAGTTGGTGTTGTTAACACTGAGACAGTTGGTGTTGTTGATACTGAGACAGTTGGTGTTGTTTGACACTGAGACAGTTGGTGTTATTGACACTGAGACAGCTGGAGTTGTATACTCTTACTTAGTTGATGCTTTTGAAGAAGAGTTAATTCTTCTTGAAAACAATAAATATCTGATGGCGAAGTTTAGAAGGTCTCATAAGAATTCTGATTGCAAAAGGAAATTTATTTCAAATCACCATCCTGCAATGTGGAAAGTGGTTAAGAAACGACTTATTGTTTATGCTGCTATTCCCACATTGTATTGAGTGGGACGTGATTTTAATGTGGTTGTTCCAAGCACATACAAAAAAAAATTCTTTAGATCACTGAACCATGCGATTTAAGAGCCCTGTTTAGTGATTTTAACCAGCCATTGAGAAAAATGGTATCACTTTACAAATCCCATCCAAAACATTGAGAACCTTTGTACAACGTCGAAATCTAGTTAGTATACTAAATTTCATAGACTTCTTGATTTATAATCATCCTACTCTAAATATTGTTGCAGTGGTATGGTGAGATCAAGAAAATAAATTGTAAAATTTTACAATTTAAAGTTACATTTTTCCATTCAATCATGGTTTAATTTCTTTAAAGATCTGTGCACAACGACTCTTCTGAACTATTATTTTAACTGCTTAAGCAAGATAGGGGGCAGTATGGATCTGATTATGGCCTTAAGGGAAAGGTGGAAGAAAAAATTTTGAGAACCTCAGATCTAAAAATAAACAAAGCAGATATATCTTCCCTCGTGAGTCGATTAAAGATTTTATTCATTGTTTGTTTTAAATTTTTTTTAAGTGGGGTTGGGGCGTGGGGCTGGGATGTTGGTGGCACACCAGGTTCTCCTGTAGTTTAATGAGAACTAGAGTTATGATTGTAAATATTGTTAAGAACTGTGAGCAGTCAGAATGAAAGCTTCAGTATTCTAGGCCAGTGAGTTTTAATTGATACCACTAAAGGCAACCAACCTCGACCCCTCCCCCTTCTCCTTGATATTAATCGGGGCTGGACTATCTATAGAGAAAATTGGACAAACTTCCCCCTGGAATCTATGGACCCGGATATCGTTCACGCGACCGCTCTCCCCCCCCCCCCCCCCCCATTTTTTTTAATGTACGCAAAAAAAAATTCAAGTAGCCGTTAAATATCTTTTCTGCTTACAATTCATTTTTACAAGTTACATGCAACGAACTTTGAAGCTGTTTCTTTAAATTTTACTTGAGTTAAAGATTTAAGAAAATTCCAATATATTGAGAACCACTAGCAGGAACAGTCATTAAAGTTTTGAGCCTCTAACACGGGGGCTATGTTCTTTCCTTTCTCATTTGACGAACACACCAACGTTTATCTGTCACTTCTTCGCTTCATGTGTGATTCTCTTTCTCTCTCTTTTTTTCTCTCTTTCTTTCTCTCCCTTGACTAAAACGCTATGCTATATACATGTACAGTGGAACGTCTCATAACGAGCACCTCTCATAACGAGTGATTCTCATAACGAGCAAAAAAAAAATGTGAATAAGTTGCTTCCTTAACGAGCGATATTTCGCATGAGTTACGCAGGAAGGGGAAGTCCCTTTTTCCTGACATCCATTTGTGAGCCGGGACTTCTGGTCTGTTAGTGTATTGTTTTCGTGTGTGATCACCAGTTTTTACAAATTTTGTATTCAGACAGTATTCGCAATTTTGTTATGTGTAAAGTGTAATAACCTGTGCTAAAATGTCTTCGAAGAAAAAACCACAAGAAGACAATCATAAGAGAGAAAAAATAACTGTTGAAATGAAACGTAAAATCATTGAAAAGCGAGAGCAAGGTGTGAGCGTGGCTATTCTAGCGCACAAACAATCGGTCAACATCAACGATCTGCACTATTCTCAAGAGCAAAAACAAAATTAAGGAGATGCATGCTTCAAAGGGAAACTGCTGCTTCGTACATTGAGAAGCATCACCCTAATAAGGAGGCGGCTATTCGTGCTACCAATTTATTAAATGATAATGCTGTGACACATGTTCGTCAAATTTTGAAGCGTCGGCAAAAACACTTAATGTCTTTAGACAGTTATCTAGTTAAAAAGGATTAATTATTTGTCATAAATTCATATTTTTATTTACGTTTTTGTTTCAAATCTAAATTGTATTCAAAGTTGTTCCACTCCTTAACAATTCATAAGAAATTTTATTTGAATAAATGTTAATAAAAAATTTTGAAAAATTAGTATTTTTTCAGCATGGATGCATTATCGTATTTTACATTGATTTTTATCGGAAAAATTGTTTCGTTTAACGAGTGTTTCGATTAACGAGTAAGAGTCTGGAACGAATTAAACTCGTTATGAGAAGTTCCACTGTATTTAGATACTTAGCCAAATTAATGGTAAGTTATTATTCCACACGCCGACTAAAAAAGAAATCAGAGACGCAACAAACTTAAACACAGACGAGAGGTTCATCCTACTGTCTCATCCTACTGTCTCATCCTACTGTCTCATCCTACTGTCTCATCCTACTGTCTCATCCTACTGTCTCACATCTGGCCATTCACTAAACAGACTTGACTGTCTCATTCTACTGTCTCTAATCTTGCCATTCACTACACATACTTGACTGTCTCGTCCTACTGTCTGTCATCTGACCATTCACAACATAGACTTGACTGTCTCATCCTACTGTCTCTCATTAGGCCATTCACTACACAGACTTCAATGTCTCATCCTATTGTCTCTCATATAACCATTCCCTACACAGACTTCAATGTCTCATCCTATTGTCTCTCATATGGCCATTCACTACACAGACGTGACTGCCTCACCCAACTCGTCTGTCATCTTGCCATTCCCTACACAGACTTGACTGCCTCACCCAACTCGTCTGTCATCTTGCCATTCACTACACAGACTTGACTGCCTCACCCAACTCGACTGTCATCTTGCCATTTACTACACAGACTTGACTGCCTCACCCAACTCGTCTGTCATCTTGCCCTTCACCACATATACTTGATTGTCTCACCCAACTCGTCTGTCATCTGGCCATTCACAACATATTTAAGTCGTAATACTGTTTCAATATTTTACTGCGTGCGATACCCTCCCCACCCTCCTACCCCCTTCATCGAACCTGATACTGATCAAGGTTATTATTCTGTAATGATTACGGAGAACACGGGACTTGTGCAAATTACTTGTCTATTGCTTTGTTGTGTTATTACAAAGCCACGGGGAACAAAAAGACCAGTTTCTTTCTTTTTTTTTTTTTAACAACAGTCTTTTAAAGCTCTTTGAGGTAACTACTAGTAATGCCATGCGTTTAAACGATTGGTGAGAAATGAGAGACTTCCATAAAACACTCAGAGTCAATATCACACTTTAAGATTAGAATATTCAGCTATCATTAGATACAAATATAACTCTTCAATTTCGTTTACATTTATTTTCATCGCACATATTCTTTACATTTTTAATTTCATGGTTGTGTTTTTAATCACTCGAAAAAGAAGCATCACTCGTAACTCAATATCCCATCTCTAATTATGTCAAAAAGTACCCGGCTTTGAAGTAAATAATTAACTGTTATAAGATTTAGACGGATGAGAATCTGAGACTTGGTGTGTGTTGTGGAGTGGCGGGGAAAAAAAGGCAATTCTCGCCTAAAAGTTGTGGTCTCTCATGTCATGTTTGTGTTGTTTACTGGCGAGGACACGGCCGATGTTGTCATCTGATAAAGTTACGAGTTCTTGGAAATGATGTGACAATCTCAAGTAACGAAGCTTTAAAACGCTTTTTAAAAGGATCATTTTAATAAACAGTTTTGTAACTGGCTGATGCAGAGTGGCGAGGATGATGGCCACTGTCTTGTGTTTGTTCATAACCTTGACCTTTCCCCTCACGGCTGGTGCAGAGTAACACTGGCTGGTGCAGAGTGACATTGCTAACCATGTCACTATGGTATCTCACTACTTAAAAAGTATGCCAAATAGTTCTATACAAATGAATGATTACAAAGAATGAGAACCCAATATTTTAGACTAAGTTTAATCCTAATGTCTGTGTAATAATACAAAGCCAATAACAGTTTAAATATTCAGATTTTAAGTGGTTGCAAATAGTGGCAGATGACAGCATTGTGTGTTCACAGTAGATGAAATGTTCAGATATTTTATCAGATTTGTTTGCTCCTCTTGTGCTCTTACATAAAACTAAATATTATTACTTCTGATCGTTGTGTAACTCATGACAGACTTAGTGTAAAACGCAAATTGCTCACCTGTTCGATACTAAATTCTTTCTTTGCTATGACGTGCGCCAACTTAAAGTCGGACAAATTAAAAAGCTAAGCATCGCCTAAGGCAGATGTAAGACTCTTGTATTTCTTGAACACATTTTTAACAAGACCATTTTAAGGAAACACCAAGGACAAAAAATCTTATGACAGTAAAAATTTCCATTGAAATGGATGTCTGTTTTTCATTAAAATTTTAATCCAATTGGACTTTATAAGATTAAGCCTTATGAAACTATGACAGATGTTCACAATATCACCGAGCCAGTGGTCATCACTTTGGAAGACAATGTTTGGTTCGTGAGCAAAAGCTTCCTGGAGGATTTCTTGACGTACTCTCAATGCGTCGTCGCGGCTGTCGTCAACTTTGGGGGGATTGTGGGTAACGTCATCAACCTGGTCGTGTTTGCCAAGATGGGCTTCCACGAGACGATCAACATCAGTTTGTTCAGCCTGGCCGCCTCCGATCTGGGCTGCCTCGTTACGCTTCAGTGGACGTACTTGTGCTACAACCCGCTGTTCCGTGCCGCCGACCTCCCCTTCAACGCGGTCGTGGTGGAATACATAACCGGCGGGTGGCCCCATGTTGGATTCAGCCGTGTGGCCGGGATGCTCACGGCTTACGCCACCTTCGAGAGATGCCTCTGTGTCACCCTCCCCATGGACGTCAAACGTCTGCTCACACCGAAGAAAACCGTGTGCGTCGTCGCCGCCATCTTTGTTCTCGTCTTCGCCAGCATCACTCCGGTGTTCACCGTCAACTTGTTGCTCCCGGAATTTTATCCACCTTTGAACAAGACTTGGGTTGGCATAGTCTTCACCGGCAATCGGGCCGAAGTTGAGCAGGTGCTGTTTTCTATGACCAATATTTATGGTTACATGAGCTTCGTCCTCGTTGCTCTGTTCACGGTGGTACTAATCAACCGACTCATCGCTAAAACAAAATGGCGCGATGACGTCATCTTCTCGCACACGAGAACCTCGACGGTGTCGATGCGGGACAAAAAAGTTGCGAGGATGATGGCCACCGTCTCGTGTTTGTTCATAACCTTGACCTTTCCCCTCACGGCTGTCTACTTGACCTCAGCGGTGATGCCAGATTTTGGACGAGGGGGAATACTTGAGTCCGTATTCCAGGTGTCTGTCGCGTCTGCCATTTCCTTCGAGATGATCAACTCCAGCGTCAATGTTCTCGTGTACCTGAAGATGAGCTCAAGGTACAAGGAAGTTGTTGTGAAATTGTTTTTACGAAATTATTGGACCGCAGCCGCAACCACAGCCTCAACCACAGCCTCAACGGCATCCGTAATTTAAATGAGGCGTGTGTGTGATTTAATCAATTAACATAGTACATCAATTAAATTTTAGCAATAAGCAGTATTCCACGTGAACTATTACTCTGAAAATATCTTAGGTTGACTGGTAGTTCTAAAAAGTTGGCAGTCTTCAAAACAGAGAATGATGTTGATTTCTGAGTACTTTGGGAAGTAAAGTATGAAATGTCAAGCTCTGTGTTAAATGAGAGCGTGTTTTCAACAATTTTGTGACATATTATTATGTTCCGGAAACTTTCGTTTGATTTAATTCATCCGTTTAATTAAATCTTAATTACTTTTTTTATAAATCCCTACTTGGAGTCGCGTGCCGTTTTCTGGGCCATGAGTGCATTACTCTCAAAACAACACACAAATAATATTGCGGTTTCTATCATATCTTAGGGTGGCTCGTGATTCCTGAGCCATCACTACTCGGCAGAGTTTATTGTTGTTGTTTTTTTTTAATCCAAATGTTCAAAGTTATTCATTCTTTTGATTTAAATCTGGAAGGCTACGTGTTCAATTATATTGTAAGGGGAAATGCTATAATTTTTTGTACTTTTACTAGTGCCAAGTTTCACATGAACTCGCAAGGTTTTTGTCTGCATCATTGCGCTCCAGCCTCCATCTATAACTCGCAACTTTTACTTCTATAAGCGCTTGCCATTTCATCATTTGGTTCTTGTGATCATCGCCGTCTGAACATTTAATATTTGCTATTTTTAACGATCATTAACCTGCACGTACACAATACCAGCACCTGTTGAAAACACAACACTTGATATTCACATGCAAACAATACCAGCACCTGTTGAAAACACAATACTTGATATTCACATGCAAACAATACCAGCACCTGTTGAAAACACAATACTTGATATTCACATGCAAACAATATAGAACATGTTGAAAAAAATAACACTTGATATTCAAATGCACACAATTACTGTCCTTGTTAAAAATACACAACCCTTGAAGTCTCGTACCGGCCAAAGACAGGAATTGTGATAAGTTTCTTACCGGCCAAAGACAGGAATTGTGTTAAGTTTCTTACCGGCAAAAGACAGGAATTGTGTGCAGTTTCTTACTGGCCAAAGACAGGAATTGTGATAAGTTTCTTACCGGCAGAAGACAGGAATTGTGATAAGTTTTTTTACTGGCCAGAGACAGGAATTGTGATAAGTTTCTTACCTGCAGAAGACCGGAATTGTGATAAGTTTCTTCCTGGCTAAAGACAGGAATTGTGATAATTTTCTTACAGGCCAAAGACAGGAATTGTGTTAAGTTTCTTACCGGAAAAAGTCAGGAATTGTGTGCAGTTTCTTACTGTCCACAGACAGGAATTGTGTTAAGTTTCTTACCGGCAAAAGAAAGGAATTGTATGCAGTTTCTTACTGTCCACAGACAGGAATTGTGATAAGTTTCTTACCGGCAGAAGACAGGAATTGTGATAAGTTTTTTACTGGCCAGATACAGGAATTGTGATAAGTTTCTTACTGGCCAACGAAAGGAATTGCGATAGAACTTCCTACAGAAACTGTGTCTCTAATGACATGTGCATTTCAACAACAAAAAACAATTCTTCTTTGAGGAACGTTTATGTCTGTAGACCACAGAGCTGCTTTCCTTGTACAACCGTACAAGCAAACTTTTTTTAGCTCATCGTCATGGCACAAACAACATAAGTATATGAACGAGTCGTCATTTGAGGGTTGACATCATTAAACACATCAATAGCATTGACCGAACAACAACAAATATACACTATTGTGGGATCAGTGGCGGGGCTGGGTCTGGTACCGCTTTCTGGGGTGGTCTGATAATTGTGACGTCCACTTGGATAAAAATCTATGGTTGGCCGAAAATGTCCCCCTTCCATATAAAAAGAAAAAAACTGCCATCCAATCCACACCCCCTTCCATAGCCACTCGTCGGGATACAAATAGTCCATAAGATTTTTAAAAAATGAATGGCAAGCATGTTTTAGACAATAAACACTAAATGATATGTGTATTAGTAAGAACCTGTATGGCTGTAAAATTCATCAAAGCGATCACAAGTTCAGATGAAGACCATTGCAAGGAACGCATCAACCAACGGCATATTTTTAACACTTCGACGAGGTAATTTTAAAACAGAGAGAATCAATCATTTAATAATAATAATAATAATAATAAGTGGTCTTATATAGCGCGGTACCCCGTGGTTCCTTGACACTTCATCTACTGAGCAGATGTCAGAAAAACATTCTCAAAACAAAGGAACTACCTGAAAATTGTCCCTCCGAAAAAATCATTGTCATTGATCATAAACTTCTGACATTAAAAAAATCATTGGAGAGAGCTCTTCGGCTTCATCACCTGTTGCATCATGAACGCCACGACCGCTTTTTATGGGATCATATGTAACATTCTTAACAAAGACATGGTCTTTAAGCTGAGCCTCCGTAACACGACCAACGTCATTCACCTTGGACTCTCCATCTCTGACTAGGGAGTCGACAGGAACCACTTGTACATTTACCCATTATTTAATGAAGGCGGTCCTCGTTTGTACCGTTTGAGATCAACTCACGCGTGGATGGCCGCACGTTGGTTTCTCACGCATCACCGAGTACGTCACGCTGGAGCTGCATCGCTGTCACATGAACCGTTCGACGGATTCTGAACCCATTAGCGCAGATGACCTACGTGATTACAGGGATATTTCAAAAGATGGTGACCGGTATATTCCCCTTCTTTCATTATCAATGATCTGCAGTATAATAGACATTCTACCTGAGAGAGACATGTCCTAAGAAAGGTGTCTTCTACACTGAGTACAAAGTAGAGGTCGACAGATATACCTTGGAGATCATCAATTCCTGTTCGGGCTTCTTCATTTTTATGACCATGAGCGACTACTTTAAGTGAACGGATGCTTACCTTTCTTGCCTTCTAAAGTTAGGAAAGCAAATCTTAATTTTTTTTATTTTTTTTTTTTAAAAATTATAAATTACATAACGTTTACCTGTTAATTGAACTTCAAGAGAGATTACATTATGCATGCATTACGAGATAAACGCCGAATGATGTTTAGCGGTAAATAATTTGGTGTGACAAAAGATTTGAGAACTGCCTGATTGTATTGGATTTTTTAAAGTCTGTAACTACCAAATATTTGTATCGGTGTTGTAAAACATTGAGTAGTGCTACTTGAACTTCAATTAAACGACCTCCAAAACAAAGTTTTTCGCAATAATCCTTTAGATGAATTTTTGTTTGCGTTTATGTAAGTGTACGTGATTGATCATTTAGGTCACTTTACGTGATTGATCATTTATGTCACTGTACGTGATTGATTTTGATCATTTATGTCACTGTACGTGATTGATCATTTATGTCACTGTACGTGATTGATATTGATCATTTATGTCACTGTACGTGATTGATCATTTATGTCACTGTACGTTATTGATATTGATCATTTATGTCATTGTACGTGATTGATCATTTATGTCAGTGTACGTGATTGATATTGATCATTTATGTCATTGTACGTGATTGATATTGATCATTTATGTCAGTGTACGTGATTGATATTGATCATTTATGTCATTGTACGTGATTGATCATTTATGTCACTGTACGTGATTGATATTGATCATTTATGTCACTGTAAGTGATTGATCATTTATGTCACTGTACGTGATTGATATTGATCATTTATGTCACTGTACGTGATTGATCATTTATGTCACTGTACGTTATTGATATTGATCATTTATGTCATTGTACGTGATTGATATTGATCATTTATGTCACTGTACGTGATTGATATTGATCATTTATGTCAGTGTACGTGATTGATATTGATCATTTATGTCACTGTACGTGATTGATCATTTATGTCACTGTACGTGATTGATATTGATCATTTATGTCACTGTACGTGATTGATCATTTATGTCAGTGTACGTGATTGATATTGATCATTTATGTCATTGTACGTGATTGATCATTTATGTCACTGTACGTGATTGATATTGATCATTTATGTCACTGTACGTGATTGATCATTTATGTCACTGTACGTTATTGATATTGATCATTTATGTCATTGTACGTGATTGATCATTTATGTCAGTGTACGTGATTGATATTGATCATTTATGTCACTGTACAAGATTGATATTGATCATTTATGTCACTGTACGCGATTGATCATTTATGTCAGTGTACGTGATTGATATTGATCATTTATGTCATTGTACGTGATTGATATTGATCATTTATGTCATTGTATGTGATTGATATTGATCATTTATGTCACTGTACGTGATTGATATTGATCATTTATGTCACTGTACGTGATTGATCATTTATGTCAGTGTACGTGATTGATATTGATCATTTATGTCACTGTACGTGATTGATCATTTATGTCATTCTCCGTGATTGATATTGATCATTTATGTCATTGTACGTGATTGATATTGATCATTTATGTCATTGTACGTGATTGATCATTTATGTCAGTGTACGTGATTGATATTGATCATTTATGTCATTGTACGTGATTGATCATTTATGTCAGTGTACGTGATTGATCATTTATGTCAGTGTACGTGATTGATCATTTATGTCACTGTACGTGATGGATATTGATCATTTATGTCATTGTACGTGATTGATCATTTATGTCAGTGTACGTGATTTATCATTTATGTCAGTGTACGTGATTGATCGTTTATGTCATTGTACATGATTGATCATTTATGTCATTGTACGTGATTGATCATTTATGTCATTGTACGTGATTGATCATTTATGTTAGTATACGTGATTGATCATTTATGTCATTGTACGTGATTGATCATTTATGTCACTGTACGTGATTGATCATTTATGTCATTGTACGTGATTGATCATTTATGTCAGTGTACGTGATTGATCA